CGATCCACGGCGGCGACCCGGGCGACGTGGAGGCGCGCGGCAAACTGGTGCACATCCACCTGCCCTCCTTCTGCACGCGCGACTCCATCTACTCGCTCGTCGACCCGCCGGCGGCGCATGTGGGCGAAGGTGTGCTGCTGAGCGCGCTGCGCCGCCACGGCGACGCGGTGGTGGTGCTCGACGAGTTTGAAAAGGGCACCGCGGAGGCGATCCAGAACTTGTGGCTCTCCGCCTTTCAGAAGCGCGGCACGCTGCGCTCGCTGAAGGATGCCGCACGCTCCGTGTCAACGGAGCGCGTGACGTTTGTGCTCACGTGCAATATCGCCGCCGACGCGATCCTGCGTGGGGAGCGGCGGTACCTTCGCGCAGCCGCGGGGGAGCAGGCGGCGATCCGCGACGAGTGGACGGAGCTCTGCAAAGAAGTGTGCCGCAAGACGATGCACGACCCCTTCGTCAACCGCGTCGACTACTTCTTCCCCTTTGTGCCGTACACAGAGGAAGAGAAGCGCCACTTTGTCCAGCTGCAGCTTCGCCGCATTCTGCTTGACCAGCGAGGAAAAGAAAGGCGCATTTATGTCACGCCGCGGATGGTCGACGCTCTAGCAGGGAGGCAGCGCACCTTTCACGCGGCCACGATTGAGGGTGTGGTACGCCCGCTGTTGGTGGAGGTGATGCAGAAGAAGTGGAGCGGTGCTGTTCTCACAGTGGCGGAGCGTGTCTCTGGTGAGGTTTTCGTGGCACTGCCGACGGACAGTGGCGTGGACCGCGCAGCATCGTGGCATTCACTACCGGGGGCGGAACTTGCGCTCGCTGCGTGTATCAGGGCGGAAAAATCAGCATCAGTCAACTCCACAAGAACAACGACGACATCAGTAGGATCAGCCTCCTCGTCGACAACTGCATTAGAGGCAATTGAGGGAAAGGAGCTAAAACCCACCAGCAGCCCCGCAACACACCGCACAGCTGCGACAGCTCCTGTTCGGTCCTCGCAGGTGCGCAATGATGTGGTGCCTGCTGCACGTGTAGAGAGCAAGAGGGAACTCGTTCTACAGCTAGAGAAGAGTGTTGAGAAGGAACTTCGGCTGGAGCTGGAGCGAGCAAAAGAACTACTACTTGTGAAGGACAAAGAAATAGCGTACCTGAAAGAGAAGGTCCTTCAGTTGGAGAAGATCGTTGCGCTACTTCTGGCCACCACTTTGATGTGTCTGTTCCTCCTTTCCCTCCTCGTTGGTGTGAAGCTCGTCTTCGTGATGTGCGTCAGCGTTGTGCTGGGTCTTGTGCTCCTCGTTGGAATGCCTCTTGAACTTCTGATGGGGGCCATTCGTGTGCTGTACGGTGTCCTGGGACCGGTCGGCTCTGCAGTTGCGGCAATAGTGGCATCCTTGTGGGTCTCGCAGGCAGTACGCAATGCTGCGATGTGCTGAGCGGTTACCACGCGTAGAGTTATATGTGGAGGGGGTGATATCCGATTGCAATGCTATTCGTTCTGTTGCCTTCCCTTCGGTGCAACAGCGCCGCGTTGTACAGTAGTAAGAGTATCCATCTGAGGCCCACAGTGATGGTGTGGTGTGTGGAATACGACCGGCGCGGAGGTAGAGTTGCGAGGGAGAAGTTGGGGTGGCCTTGGTAACTATTCGCGGCGTTGTGTGCCTCCCGTTTGGAGAGGGACCAGTGGCAGCTCTCATTGGGGGGGGGGGGGGGGG